GTGTGTGTGTGTGTGTGGTGTGTGTGTATGTGTGTGTGTGTGTGTGTTGTATGTGTCTGTCTGTCTGTGTACTCATGCATGTTTATCCTCTTTCAATTTTCTGGTCTTGGATTATTTATTCCTTGTGCTTTCTTGGGTGTGCTTAATCTCTTTAGGTTAGAGTTTTCCTTCTAGTGCCTCTGTAGGGCTAAATTTGTGGATAGATATTGCTTCAATTTGTTTTTATCATGGAATATCTTATTTTCTCCACCTATGGTGATTGGAAGTTTTGCTGGGTATAATAATATGGGCTGGCATCTGCAGTCTCTTAAAGACTGTAGCACATCTGCCCAAGCCCTTTTGTATTTTAGAGTCTCCAAGAAGTTATGTGTAATCTAATAGGTCTGCCTTTATATGTTATTTGGTCATTTTCCTTTGTAGGTTTTAATATTCTTTCTTTGTTCTGTGTGGTTAGTGTTTTTACTATTATGTGCAAAAAGAACTTTCTTTTCTGGTCCAGTCTATTTGGTATTCTGTATGCTTCTTCTATTTTGTTAGGCATCTCCTTCTTTCTGTTAGAAAATTTTTCTTCTATGACTTTGTTGAAAATGTTTCCTGTACCTTTGGCCTGAGTTTCTCCTCCTTCTATTCTTATTATTCTCAGACTTGGTCTTTTCATAGTATTCCAGATTTGCTGGATGTTTTGTGCCAAAAGGTTTTAGATTTAACATTCTATTTGACCAAGGTATCTATTTCTTCTATAGTGCATTCAATGCCTAAGATTCTTCCATCTCTTATATTCTATTGTTAAGGCTTGCCTCTGAGTTCCTAATTTTTTTGTTTTCAGATTACCCTCAGTTTGGATTTTCTTTACTAATTCTATTTCCACATTCAAGTCTTGAACTGTTTTATTTCCTTCCACTCTTGGTTTGTTTAGATATTTTAAGGGATTTATTAATTTCCTGTTTAAGGACTGCTGTCATATTCATAAAGGCTATTTTAAGATTTTTTTCTTGTGCTTCACCTATCTTGTAATTCTCAGGGCCTGCTGTGGTAGAATTGCTAGTCTCTAGTGGAAACAAATGTTTGTTTTTGACTGGCTGTTATTGACTATGTTTTTCTCAGGCATCTAGGCATCTGAGTTTGGGAAGACTGTAATTCTAGCTACTAATATCTGGTCTTGTCTTTGTTGGGTGGGTGTTTTGTTCCTTGATTTCTGTCACCGTCTCTATTTCTTAGCAGGGTGTGGGGTCTGTGTGTTGCCTGGTAGGAAATTCTCCTGGGATCCTGATAGGTTTAGTCACTGGGGGTTCAAGGTAAAATGTGTTCCTGGGTATTAGGATCTGAAGCTTAGCAATGGAGATAGACTAGGAGGTGAGTGCCAAAGGAGTCCACAGTTTGGAGGGAAGCAGGGTGTTCCACCAGGATCTGCTTAGTCCCCTAGGAATGTGTGTGTGTGTGTGTATATATATATATATATATATATATATATATATATATATGAGAGAGAGAGAGAGAGAGAGAGAGAGAGAGAGAGAGAGAGAGAGAGAGAGAGAGAGAGAGAAGAGTAGAGATATGAAGCTTGCCTACCTGATTTGCTGGACTACTTGGTTCTCTCTTAGGTGGGTTCCCAGGGGATGCTTTGCTTGAGTTGAAGGTTGGAAGACCAGAATGGGTGGGGAGGAAGGTTGGGTGAGAAAGTCTGTGTGGTCTGCTGGAGATTGGGCAGAAAGGAGGGGAAACTGCAGTAAGTGGTTTGCTATAGAGATGGGGATAGACTGGAGGATTTGATTTGGTGGAGATGGGGGAGTGGTGAAGATCCGTAGTTGTAGTTATTTTACCTGATTCCCTGGCCTCAGTAGCCTGCGGTTCCCAGAGAATGTCTGTTAGGGTTGGGGACTGGGATAAAGTGAGGAGTTGGGGGACAGGAGTTTGGAGGGGAAGATCTGTGTGATCCACTGGGGAGTGGGAGGAGATGCTGCAGCAGGTGGTCTGCTGTAGAGCTAGGATGAGGCTGGGGAATTGGATTTGGAGGAGCATAGGAAGAAGTGAATATCTGCGATTAGACTACTTGCTTCCTTGGCTGGAGTTGAAATCAGAACATCTTAAACTAGGTGGTAATCATATATATTGCCACAAGCTAAACATTGAGACTATGAAAAATTTGGTAACACTGAAATGTTTCTGAATGTGCAACAGCTAAAAAGTAGTTTGAGTGCAAACACGCACATACTTTTTTATCAGCAAAATCCAGTTTGCATGCTTATTTTGTGTACCTATATACCCAAGGCTGTGTAAAAATTTCTCAGGTGAAAAGTTGTAATGAGTGGAAAAAGTTTAAGAAGCTCTGCTTTAGGAGACTGTGAAGGCCAGGCAAATCAGAATCCTGAACATATTACATATGTTTACTTGTATAGCAGGTGTATTGGTGTAGGCATATAAAAAAATCAATATGCTGACCATTTCAATGGAGTTTGGGGACACTTTAAGGGTTCACAGGGTTTAGGGTATTTAAAGGGCATGGCCCAGGTAAAGAGATACTTAGGAGGTAGGGCCTAGTAGAAGCTCTCTAGGTCCTATTAGAGTCATTGACTTCAGAAAGATTTAAATTAGCTCTATTGTGATTCAATGTAGTTCATGCCAGAGACTGGTTTTTAAAGGCATAGGTTTCTCTCCCACCCTCTGCTTCCTTGATTGAGATGTGATCATTTCTGTCCACACTCTCTACCATCCAATAGCTATAGTGTGGTCCTTCCTGTAACCTACACTATATCATTTGAATTTTCAGGCATTCAAAACTATAAGCTTTATTTTATAAGTTATATTTTCTTTATAAGTTGTTATCAGGTATTTTATTATAGTGGCAGAAAATAAATAATAATCTTCAAGCAAAAACAAGGCAGAGAGACAGAGGCTAAGGGATTGGGAAATGTTGGTAAAGCTACATAAGTGGACTAGACTTAGACTCTGACGTTATTAATCTGTTCTAGTTTCATTTCTGTTCCTGTGATAAAATATCTTGACAAAAAGCAACATGGGGTAGGGGAAAGTTAATTTGGCTTAAAATTCAAGGTTACAGTCCATTGCTGCTGGAGGTCACAAAGGCAGAATCTTGAGACAGCAGGTCACACCACATTCACTGTCAAGAGCAGAGAGAAACAAATACACTCAAGCTGCCTGTTTGCTCACTGCTGATGCTCAGCTAGCTTTCTTCTCTCTTACACAGTGCCAGGCCCAGTCCGTGAATTGGTGATGCCCACATTCAGTGCAGGTCTTCTCACCCCTATTAACAAGCAAGACAATCTGACATAGGCCAACCTGATTTAGATATTTCCTTATTCAAGTTCTCTTCCCAGGTGATTATAGGTTTCAGGAAATAGACATTTAAAATTAACCACCATGAATGAGGCTGAGGAGATGGCTCAGCAGTTAACAGCACTGGCTCCACTTACAAATGACTCAAGATCTGCTGCCTGCACCTATGTTGGGCAGCTCACAGCTACCTATCCAACACCTTCTTCTGCCCTCCCCCAGCACTCATTCACCTGCACAAACCCATACACAGACACAAATGCATAGACTTAAATAAAAAAAATCTTAAACAATCATATCCTCTCAAATATTTTTTACTGAAACATAGACTTTTTTATATGATATATTCTGATTATAGTTCCCCTCCCTAAACTCCTCCCAGATCCTCTCCACATCCCTATCCACCAAAATCCACATCCTTTCTTTCTGTCATTATAAAACAAACAGGTATCTTAAGTCATCATTATGTGAAGAAAATAAACAGAATTGGTAGTCCCGAGGATAGAATTTGTCAGAAGCCAAAATATGTAAGACTGTGGAATTTGTTAAAGTGTGTTTATGGTTTTTGGGTCCTATGAGTTCATTCTCCGGTTTTTCTCCTTTAATGTGTCTGAGAAAGGCTAGGCCTTTGCATAAGACTAGGTATTAAAGGATTCGAGCACACAGAGGAGCATCTGACCATCTCTAAGTGCTAGTGTGATGAGTTGCAGTGACACCTCTGTGGGGGACCTGGCCCCACTTTTCCCCCCAGGGTATTCTTGAGCAGAGAGAAGTGAGAAATATTTAGATAGAAATGTAGAAGAGAGAGACAGAAACATAGGACAGGCTCGGGAGGACCTGGGTCAAAACCCACCAGCCCCTTTCTGTCTCAAAAGACCGCAGCCTAACACAGCCAAGTGCAGACCCTTCCAAACACCTGGTAACCACGCATGTGGTCAATCCATTCCCTTATGCAGCCCTGCTGGGTAAAGCATGCTCAGATCTCACTAGGAAACCTCTGTGGACCCCAACACACCTCAAGCAAAATATACTTAGAACAGTGGCTCTCAACCTTCCTAATGCTGTGACCCTTTAACATAGCTCTTGCTGTGGTGACCCCAACCATAAAACTATTTTCATTGCTACTCCATAACTGTAATTTTACTGCTGTTATGAATCGTAATGTATACAAGATATCTGATATACAACTCTGGTGAAAGGGTCATTCTGACCCCAAAGGGGTCGCAACCCACATATTAAGAACCACTGACTTAGAGGAAAAATAAACTTCTCAAATTCTGGATTTGACTTTACCAAGTGAGGCATCTTCCCTCTGTGGAGTATTCTAGCCTTGACACACCCACTCTGGTACTCTTTCATCTACTCATTCTTACCCACTGAGATGCCAGCACACTTTCCTGGTTCCCAAACCAGAAGTTAAAGGGTTTTTTTGTGTTTGGGTTTTGTTTTTCTGTACATTCTTTCCAAGGACAAATTGTCCCCTTTGTTCATCCCAAAGCTTTCCCATAGAAGATATAAAAGGATTTGCTTTTATGTTATACCCTCACCCCATCCACTTATACTTTAATGCCCATATGTTGATCACATGGAAAGGTTTAAATGTTGACTTTAGCTAATAAGCCACTGTGGATCACAAATATCCAGCAACCCAACTGCCTCCCCCCATCCTTTTCCCTTTTCCCATTAGATCTACAAGAGGAGATCAGGAGTGCTTTGAATGAATAGTTTTATTTAGTATATATTTATGTAAATATATATCCTAATCTACTACTACTACCCCTGCCATGACACTATCCCCCTTCCCTTTGACCCCTCCTCTCTTTGTTATAGAATACATAGTCAAACATTAAATTAGAGTAGAGAGAAATAACAGCATTAGTAGATAATATTTAAAGCAACAGTTACAAGTAAATAAGCAACAAGCACATTGGTAGGAATAATGTTCTTTCTCCTGTTGTAGAATGGTAAGATTTCTTTCTTTTCCTTTGTCACAGGGTAATTCACACTATCACTTCAGGGAGCCTGATTTCCTCTGTCATTTAAGTAGAATTTGACAGTGTCAGTCTTTCTCCCAGAAGGCTTCAGTTCCACACAGTCAATATCACTCGTAGGTTTGAATCAAGTAGCAAGTGTTCGATGCGCCTATGTACACACGCCTAGGATATATTCCATACTTCCACAGAGCTTGTGAGCAAAGCTGAAAAGCTGAAAGCATTAAGGTATTATCAAGTTCAGTTCCATTCCATGGGGGAGGGGGACTGCACAGGCAGGTGATGGATGAAATTTCACTAACTACTCTATAGACTCTAAGTTTAAAGACGCTTTTTATTTCTATTTTTTGTATTGAAATATTTTTTTTTCTGGGGTATTTTTACGCTGACTTTCTTCTGAATTAAGTTGCGGGTACACAAGCATTGACAGCCTCTTGTCTAAAATTACAAATATAGTATTCAGTTTCCCCACTCTTAATACAGACTTGCCACCTATAAAATCCTATAAATCAAAAGCCATGAGGCACAGTATCTCTCTATTCGGTGACTTCTAAGATCTTTCTATAAAAATAAACTGGCAAACTTTATCTCCAGGAGGTCTCATCACAAAAGAACAGGGAATTCATTCCAGATGCTACATTTCAACTAGTCCAATTAACATAAACCATTTACATAAATCTGAGCACAGACACTTTTACTGGGGCCTGAATATATTATGTCAGGAAAATTTCACCAGGCTAATCTACACCATTTCCTCCATGTGCGTCTTGAGCAGCCAGATAAGGCTTTTCTTTCCTTTAGTATTGAGCAAGAAGTCCATATTCAGAGCTGAAACTTTTTATAATCCCCCAAAAGTCTTCAGTTTTTCAATATGAGATAAAATCTTGAAAATGAACAATTATTGATAAATATCATAAACTCTTACTTTGAGAATTATAATACAAAGGTATAACCACATATAAGAGATTACTGTTACTAATATAAGGGAAGTAAGTTTGAAATCAACACATAAAAGTATATGAATAAGAAGTATTAGAATAAACAACATTATTTTACTCTCATATTGTTTATACCAGGTATATTTCCTTTCTTTCCTAATGTGTACCAGAAGACAATAGTATGTCCATCTGTGAAACTTTGCCTCAGCGTCTTCAGATGTTGAGAGTCTTCAGAAACAACAAAGATCTGACAGCTTATTGTGCTAATATGCTATATTGTGTGTGTTGGTGTATGTGTATGTACTTATATATTTATGTTAGTATATGTATATGCATTTGTAGAACTTGTAGAACTGTGTGATAGTGTGGAAAGATACCTTAACTTAGAAGATATACAGGAATTTACAGTGAAAGAGACTGTCAGATCACAACACATGACAAAGAATGTATATGTCTCATATACAGTGACCAAAACATGATTACCAGAATCCAGGATATCTATGCCAATAGAGGAATTCCCCCACTCCAAACTGTCCTGTTAAGGTTGAATATCAGACAGGCTACATGTAGATCTTACACTCATCAAACCATTTCTCCAAATATCCTCATTTGTACCAAGATACAGTTTCTTGGCATTTAACACATGTAATTATATGCATTTGAATTTGTCAAAGGGGGAATCTAGCAATTTCTCTTGTCTGTCACTCTGGTACACTCTCTCATTTGTACATTTCAAAAGTGATGCCTTTCGAGTAATGTGGCACTGCTAACACACAGCCAGTAAGGGATATACTATTAACTGTTGTCTCCAGAATTGAAAACAGATTTTAAAATAATTTTTACACAACAGTTTTGCTGGGCCTTCCAGGTGGCTAATAACCTTTGTGCAGAAAAAGGCTGACTAGGGTGAGTGGTGCAGTCTATGAAAAAGGACACACATGGGTTTTAGAGACCATGTGACCACAGTTCTTTAGCACCATGCCCAAACCCACAGAGCTAAATGGCTGCACATGGGTTAGAGTCTAGGATCTAGAGCTCATTAGCACCATGTTCCAACCAAATGAGCCCTTCAATCAGAAACTTCTCACAATTGTAGCACCCTCAGACTTGGCTGGGTACTGAATTCAGATTTGATACTGCTGAAAAACATCTAAACAAAGGCCCACATGATGCTGAAACTATTCATCTGCCCAAATCTTCAAACATCCATACATCACTAAAACTGTTGTATTAAGATCTGGATCTGTCAAGTTTCCAGCCAAGTCAGTAGCAAACCTTGAAGCTGGATTATCTGTCAAGCATGGAACATTCCAGATCCCAAGCCTTACTGGGGAGTGAAAGAAGTTTGATTCTTTGTACAGAATAGGGATAGGGATGGGGAAGTGCCTTCTTAGGAAAGATAGAAGGTTAAAGCATAAAGTACAATGTTCATTTAAATTACAATGATAGCCCTTTTACCCAAATTTCTCCTAAGTCTAAACTGGAGAAGAAGGCTATCAGAGCTAGGTACAATGCTTCTAAGAATCATGGGGTACTCAAGCAAAATTCAACTTTGCCTTCTCCATGTGGGGAGGCAGAACCATAAGCAGACAGTCCACTATCCTGGGAATAATCTATTCTATCAGATATGAATGGAAAGGAAATACATATATCTGTCCTTAAGATAATCAGAAATATTTACATAGGAAGTTGGAAAATACACAAGCAGAGATCACTATTCACAAAGACTACAAATACCCAAAACAGCTGAAGCCAAAAGATCACAGGTAGGTTGGCAGTTTATAATGTTCATAATAGAAGATACAGTCATGTTTTCAGCCTAAAGCTACTCCAAATATGTATTCTTGTACTTCAATAATACAAGTTCATTGTTTTGCAATTGGGGTATTAATGATAGAACAGGAAGAATGGACTGAATTAAAAGGATGGAAAGGACACATAAAAGAGACAATGGAATGAAACTGAGTTTAAACTTCAATTAAGTCTTTCTAATTTGTCCTTGATCCTAAAAGGGACACAGCACTATGGCAAGTATGGTAATTTGCTAGAAACATTTAAAGTTCTGAACCCCAAAACCCACCACATCTTTTCACTAAGTGAAAAGTGAGTAGCCAGAAGTTGACTCTCATGACCTCATTTCTTGATCCTAGAAACCTATCCGCACCTTACCAACCAGGAGATATCTCAGTAGAGACTGGATAACTTGTCATTGTTAAGAAGATTTTTAAAACAAGAAGAAAGATAATCATGGAGGACAAAATGGAAGTAGAGGAGGACGTGAAAGAAGAAAAGGATGAGCAGAAAGTGGAACAGGAGCAAGAAGGAGGAAATGGACAAAGGCTAGGAAGGGGGTGGGGAGAGACCACGGGGAGGACAAGGATACTGAGGAGGAGGAGGCAAAGAAGAAGAGAGGTAAATGAGGAGGACCACCAGTCCAATTCTCATCCTGGTATCATCTTGACACACGCAACCATGGATGCTGTTCAAAGAACCTTGAGAACATAGTCTCCAGAAGAATGGCAGTGACAGGATGAGGTATCACTTCTTCCTCCTCCTCTCTTCTGCTGAGTTGAAATTGTCCATAAGCTAAAGAGATGGGGATAATTAAAACAACAGTAAGCACATTATATTTTCTCTTCTTCCAGAAAAAGAAAGACAAAAGTAGAGAGTACAAATTTACATGAAACAAAGTATGAAACTAAATGTATAGTCAGAAACACGGAGGAGGTTTGGGATTTTGAAGTGTGAACTTGGGCACTTCAACTTTTCTTGCTTTCAGAGAGAAGCTATCACCAAATTGTTGTATGGCAACCTGGGGAAATAACTCTGATTACATGGAGTGAATCACTTCACTGCCTTATCTGTTCCTGGACATCTGTAACATTTCCCATCCTCATTACCACAGGAGAGAAGATACGACTAAGAACTGGCACTTACAAGGTGAATGGAGTTCCCAGAGAATCGAATGAAATTTCAGAAATGATACCTTAGTCTCCTAGCATTTCCATGGGAACATAGTAATGAAATCAGTCTTGTGTACATTTAAATAAAATATAAATAATAATATTTAGGAGCTCACAGAGCTCCTGAGGCCTGCATTATCGGTAGACAATCACAGTATCTGGGTGGTATTCAAAACCATAAAAGGAGGCTGGGGGCCAGAAACAGAGATAGAGTTATAAAAACCCCAAGTCAGAGAAGAATTTTCCTTTGAGAGATGATCAAATACTCTCAGTGTATTCAGTTTGGAAAGAGAACAAAAACAGAAAAGAGAAACATGCATAAAACCAGAGAAAAGGAAATCCAAGTGAGTAAGACATAGGTTGGTTCACATGACCCCCACCCCTCCGATACTATGCCCTTCCTTCTACGTAAACACATGAGACAGTAATCAATTCCAGTTATTTTAATCCTATCATACCTTAGATATTTTGAGAAGTGATAGTCAATCGCGGTCTGGGCAGCTTAAACTCTAGGCACTGAATGGAGAAAGGAGATCTCCACTACTGGGGAGGGAGGGGGACTTGGCAGCTCATCAAAATCTTTGAATCGTGGGAATTTGGGCACTCCTGGATTGGGATCCACGCAGGTAGGGGGGTGGGTTTGAGACCCAGAACTCAGTCGGCGATGCTCTCCCCTGAGGCGGCTGATTTTATCTAGCAGCATCTTCTGGATTTCCATGATGACCTTCTGCACTTCAATACGGAAGCTATCACTGAGCCAGCAGTAGATGTAGGGGTTGTAGCAGGAGCTGCTAATTGCTAGCCAGTGGAGGAAAAAGTACAGACCATTGTGGCTTGAGATGGATTCGCTGGATAGCAGCACCAGGTAGATATTGAGGGGGAGCCAGCTGATTGCATACAGAAGCACCACTGTCATCAGCATCTTTAGGGTCTGCTTCTTCTTCCCACGCTGGCAGATGTAAGTGTGGATATTGATGTCATCAACAGCATCATGGATCCACAGCTTTTTGGCCACATGACCATAGACAGCCACCAACACCAGCAAAGGCAAGATGAAGAAGAGCAGAAAGGTGCCTAGGTCAAGGTATTTCCATGTGGATTTTGAAGTGTATGGGAAACTGGGAAGGCAGGCACTTTCCTCAGTGGTGTTTCTAGGTTTTGAGAGAAAGAAATCAAAACCAGTGATTTAGTCTTTTCCTTAAGGCAATTAGGCAATTAGGCCTTAAGGTTGAGATGTATTTACTGTTTGTGTTGTGTCTGTATTGAGCATAAAACCAGGAGGACTGGGATTCAACTGATCCAGGCTTCTCATGTACCTATAGGAAAACCATGACCCCCAAGATGGAAATTGTAACCCACTGCCATGAGCGTTTTAGGGAAATAATGACAAATTACAGTTTAGAAAAATTTATTTTTCTACCTATGTTTTGAAATGTGTTATTCTAGCCCCTAATTCCTAAATCATTCCTTATGGCTTCCAAGGCCTAGGGATGCTAGTATAAGAGAAATTATCTCATCTCATGTTCCTCTTACCCAATTTCCACCTGGTAAAGCTTCTGGTAAACGGCATGTGGCAAAGCAGCACAGGTGCTCACAATCCAGATGATAATGATGCAAACATTGCCTTGCATGGGACTAATCCGGGCCTTCAAAGGATAAAGCATCACCTGGAAAGAAAAGGACCCCGGCCAGCTTAACAACTCAAATTGAAGTTAGACATTCATAAACTGCTATTCTGATAAAAGGGTACAAAGACTCAGTATGTGGGTGGTAATGTGCTTTGTGGACTAGTTCATTTGACATGTATGTGGCATTTTGCTCAGGAAATTACAGCACTGCTGCATTTGAAGAAGTCAGGAATCCAAGTGGACTGACTTCAAAGCTCCTGTTTTCTGTCTGTAGCTCTGTGGAGAAAAGAGACAGACGTCCAGTAGTATGACTTATTTTTTTTTCTTTACCTTCTAATGGGTGGAAAAGACCCTACATATTCCTTCATCTACCCTTCTACCTGGCTTACTCCATGTCCTTTCTCATCCCTCCCCCATCCCCTTCCACCCCTCCCATCCTCTCACACCCCCTCCCATCCTCTCCCATCTTGATCCCTTCATAGACACTCTTTTCTTCCTCTCTCTTTTGCTTTGTTCCCTTCTGTCTCATATCTTTTGTCATTTAGATCATTCTATAGCTTCTCCTGTCTGGATCTAACCACATAAGCTTCAATCCTTTGGTCTTCCCATACCACTCATTTTCTGTCTCCCTCCTAAATGATTAACTATGCAATGCCCACAGCTTCTTATCCCTTGCCTCACTTCCTTTTAATTGACTTCAATCTTCCTCCTAGCTCCTTATTCCTCAACTCTCTTCATCCACCCACTTAATTCCTCAACCCTTCCTCACAGACCACTCCCACCTTCCAGACTGAACTCCCAGTCAGATCTAATAGTACATCCACATTCACTTATCTCTGCCCTCTTCCTTTTTTTAGCCAGTCCTGCAGTGCAGCAAACAGAAAATGTTTTCCAAAGAACATGTATCAGGTGTTTGTTGCCATATCTCTGTTCCCATAGCACCACAGAAAAGATGGTAACATTTTTATTAAATTTAATTTGGCAAAGTTCTGTATGTCACCATCTTTCAATCTAGCCAAATTACACATGAACATTTACACATATGGACTTAAGAACTTGGAAAACTTGGTAGATTACTTGTGACCTTACTTGTCTCCATACATATAAGAGAGAGCTCTATCTTTGGCAAGATCTAGGGGGCACATACCCGATGTCGATCCAGGGAAATAGCTGCCATGCTCATCACAGTTACATAGGCACATGAGTACTGGGCAAAGCGACTGAGGTGACATGTCATCTTTCCAAACACCAGGGAATTACACAGATAGCGCACCTGTAGGAGAAAAGGTTTGGTGGTGCACAGGAACCCAGCCCTGTGTCCATCTTTCACAAAATCCCCAAAACACAAATCAAAGGCTCCTTGCTTCACCAAACTGCTGGTGTCATTCTCTCAATAAACAAAGAAATGTTTTCACACTCCAGTTCTCATACTCATCTCATTTTCTCCCATTCTCTCATCCTGGCTTGAAGACATGGAGGGATACTAAACCACAAAACCTGTTAACTAACTTCAAGTTCATGCATAACATTTGAAAGGTGAAGTAACAGAGTTAATATTTATAACAAAACTTGGATTCACACATTAGCCCAAAACTCACAAGCAACAGGTCCCACTGCCTCCCTGGGCAGCCCAATACTCTCTCAGCCTCTGCCATGGCAAGGGATTAATTCAGCGACGCAACAACTATTCTGCCAGTCTTCCTAACACATTCCCAAGCTCTTTTCAATGCTTCTCAGCTTCTGTTTTATTTTCTATGAAAATGTTCTCCAAAACAAACCAGCCCTTTCTAAATCCCCCTCCCTCCAACCACACAGCACTCACTGTTGAAAGTACAAAGTTTTACTTTAGTTCATGCCCTACTCCCCAAGTTACCCTCCTCAGTACCCCAGCTTACCATAGTGAAGGGAGAGCTGAGAAGAGCGAGCATCATGTTGGTCACAGAAATGTTGACAACGAAGAGGCCGGTGGCTGTATGTACCCTCTTGTACTTCATAATTATATGGTTTAAGACCCAGTTGCCTATGATGGCAGCAAAGACCACTATGGTGTACCCTACAACTAACCAGAATTGCACCTGCTCATCCTGGGACACAATTTCCAAATCTAGGGGACCTGACGTGTCGGCCAGGTCACCCGTGTTTGGCATGTGGCCTGGCAACTTGGACAGCTCACCATTTCGGCCCATGGCATTGGACGCGGCCTGAAGCACCTGAGAGGTGGTGGAGGTGATCAAGTCATCGAAACCACTAGGTACACTCAGAGCTTCTGGAGTCAGCTCATCCCCATAGCCCATGGTGCCAGGGCTCTGGAAATCCCCTTCGGGCAATTCTGTGGTTGGGGCATCCATCCCAGTGCCTTTAGTGGACCGTGAGGTCCCTAAGCTACTCTCTCAGGAGCCTCTCAAAGAAGGGAGAGGGCAAGTTGAGGCCGTGGACAGACAGACAGGCAATCTATTCAGTATCCTGGAGCTCTGAGCTGATAAGGTATTCTCCAAGGTATCTGGAGCAGGGAGAGGGGAGAAATACCAGGAGCCAGAAAAAAAAGACTGGACCTGCTCAGGGTGGGCAAGTGCGCAGAGCTGGGCAGCTGAGCCCAGGACAGGCTGTCTGCAAACGCTCTTCCTGGAGAGTGCCCACAGCACCTGCTCCAAACTGGAGATGGCGTCAGGCTTCGCTCAAGTACAGACCCTCCTCCATGCTGCCAGTGATAATTCCTACCCAATTTCTGTTGCCTTCAGTCAGTCATCAGTCTGTAAGTCTTTTCTGTCCAAGGCCCGCTGGCGCTGTGGGCAGGGCGGAGTCAGGCACTGCCACTCCAGCTCCAAGCCCGTGCAGAGCCTGCTCTCTGCAGCTGCCCTTTATAGAAAGTCCAGGGGCCCGCGCTGGAGCCAATGGGGAGCCGCGACTCACCCCCCGCCCTGTCCTTCTGGGCTGGGGAGTCTGAGAGGCTGGCAAAGTCGCTCCTGTCTCAAGCCCCTCCTTTCGCTGCTCTCCTTAGCTCTCCCTCTTCTAATCTTGCAGTTGGGAGCCTGGATGTATTGTTAATGGGTTCTTCTTTTAACATCGCCCTGCCTATAATTTGAATTCAGCGTCTCCTGACTTTCCCTTGCTTTCTGTTTCTTTTCTGCATCATCGCCCTAGGCACCAGCTGGCTGTGACACAGGTACTGAATGGAGGCTGTGGAGACTGCAGTCGCATCTGGACCAGAAAGCCAGTCAGCTGTCTGGGGAGAGTGGTCGATATGAAAGACTTGCACAGCTGTGGGGGTTTCACAGAAAGAATGAGGCAGGGTACAACTGGAGAATCAGGAGGGAAGTTTAGCTTATGAGAAGCAAGAAAGGGTCACCTGGGAGTGGGCTCAAACACGATGTTCTGTTTTTTTTTTTCTAGCCTCAAAACTGCATGCCCCTGACCAGGCAACTCTGATCCTGGCCTCTGGAAACAGGACACTATCATCTGACACCCAGGAAGTAACACTTTTGGAAGCTAGACTGTGTCAGATTAGTCAGATTTCTAAAGGGTGAGTCCCTCGGGAAGATTTAGGATTTGGGAAGCTTCTGCATATCAATGCAGCTAAAATCTAAACAGCAGAGAGAGGGAGATGTATCTTAGTCATTGAGGGTGGCAGTGGAAACACTCTAGGACTGGTGGTCCCAGACTAGCCTTTTCCTTGGAAATTTTTAGCTACATCTCCATTCCAGAGATGTTAAAGTAAGAACCAGAACAACTAAGCTGCCTCCCTAAAAGGACAGAGGAGACCCTAGTCTTTCACAGCGTGCCATTTACCTATCCTCGGCCACCCCTCTTCCAGCAATTAAGGGGTGGAGAAACTGGAATAGATAGGTTATAGAAGGTCAGGGGGGAAATAGTTGAAGCACAAGAACTAAAAATGAGAAAGGGCATTCAGATACCTCTGCTATGCAGCAAGCACTCTGTTTAAGAAATCCTGGTGTTTGTTACAGCCAGTCTCGTGACTTTCTAGCCACCCTTTACTGCCCAGAGGCTACACAGCTATTCTCCTGGAGGAAGAGAAAAGAAACACACCTGATCTCAAGAATGTCAATAATTACTGATTAAGGAATAAGCAGAAACCGGTTTAGAACCATCACCATCATCATCACTGTCCAGTAATCACAGATCACAAAGGAGCCATGACGCAGATAAGCAAACTTCTGAGTGCTTGCACTGGAACACATCTTGCTGATTATAGATTAAGAAAGTAAGAAAGATTGAGGCAGATCTGAGGATGTTGCAGTATTCCTGTGACGTTGTGGCTGGTGAGGAGATGGTGGTGGATGGGCTAACACTGTGTAGCAGATCAGAGAGAAGCAAATTGTGTTTTGCTTGGTGACTCACAGAGATGAGACACATACATAAACACATTTGAAGGAATTAGTAAACCTTAATTCTGTCACACGGACCCATCCTGGAGAAGGCACTAAGTCAGGGTCTTTAGACCAATCTCTTTGCAGCAGTTTTTATTCGAAGTTTGTCAAGATACACCAACTTGATGCTAACCTGGCTTTCAGGACCCCAAAGAGTTTAGGGATAATGTGAAGATGATCGGTTAAAGATGAGACTTTTAAAATCTAACTGAAATGCAAAGGAGTAAATGTCAGGGTTCTGATATGGAGGTTCAGACGTGCAAAGGCAGGATCAGGATTACTGATCTACCAGCCCCTCCCACACCCTCCCCACATAATTAGTATAATGTTATATATAATATAGTGTATATTATTATTTTACATATAATAGATTCTTTGAGATTTCATGTTCTATTTTGATTCTGTTCACATACCCCCACTTCCTTCCAGGTCTAATGTCCATTCCATACCGGCTCTTCTTTGCATCCTCATTTTTTAAAAGCATGTTCTTTGGTCTCTCGGAGTGAGAGTTTTTGCAGCAGTCAAAAAGGTATTGGGGAGACTCACCTCTCATACAAACGTAAGATTCATACAACACTGATGGTAATGAATTCTGCAAAACGGGAAATGATATACATTGAATCACACTAACATTCTCACACATTTTAAAACTTGGATACATTTTTATTACCATGTACTAATTGTTTAAATAATCAGGTTCATTAAGAAAATGGCATACATGCATGTGAATCATTTTTATCTTCTATTGGATATTATCCACTATTGCTTTCCAGGGGGCCCACTGATCTCCCTTCTTTTCCCTTTTTGCTTTTATCACTTTTTCCTCTAATTTACAAATATGAAAGAAAACATAAGATATTTGTCTCTTGTTTTGTTGGATTTTTAAAGCAGGAAGTTGCCATGCTGGCAAGGCTATCCTTAAACTTTGGATCCTTCTGCCTCAGCTTCCTGAGATCTGGAATTACAAGCATGTGCCACCAAACTTGGTACAATACTTGTCTCTATGAATTGGGCTTAATAATCTTCAGTATCACCATGGTCTCTCTTTTTCTTTATTTTATGTCCTGATGTACATATGGTATCTTCTTGGCCCTTAAGTCTTCAGTATCCACCAGCTATCTGAGACCTTGCAAAGGTTGTTACAACATTCCATATCCAGAGAGATTCCTGGAGCCAGTAAGCCATGTATGTTCCCAGTCTATCAATGGAAGAAGGAATCTGGGATTGAAAGGAGAGTTGACCATAGCATCTATTTCTAAGAAGCTGAACATTGCACTAAAGGGAAGAACCCATACCCAGGAAACACTTAATTGAAGCAGGCATACGATGTGCAGACAGTCAGTGATACAGGAACAAATAGTCCAAGATGTGATCTGAGGAAGCTTTGCAGATAAACTAGCATTTGATCTGGTGTTTGAATAACACAAAGGACAGAGAAGGGCAGAAAAGGGGGAGAAATTAAACTTTATCCTCCAAAGCAGGTGTAATACGAAGAGGAAATGCTTCTGGCTTGTTCCAGGGAACAAAAATAAATGTTTTGAATCGAAAGATTAGTATTTGTTGTTCCTATGCATTTATCTATTACTGCAATGTTTTCTGAGTATCTCCATGGAGATAGTGTAGTTGCAAGATGAAGAAAATCATTATATAGCGTGGTTGGTGGAAGAAGGAAGGATGCTTTGTACAGTAAGAGCCCGAATAAGCACTTCTCTTTATATACTACTTCCAAGTTATCTGTCCATCTTGCAGGTTGGGATTGTTCCCCCTCTGCATTGTGTTCTTCCTAGTCTTTTATATAAAATTAGACATTTATGTTGAAAAGGATTTCTGCAATTGTCAGATGTGTTCACCCTTCTCTCCAGGTCTTCATGCCGAGCCATGGTATCCAAACCAAATGTTTCTATACAACAACTTTGATTGGCCCTATCTATAGAAAATACAAGCCGAATTTATCTCATTTGGAGTCTGTAAAATTCATTCCAATGCTCAACCACACATAGCCTTCATCCCTGGCAAAACAGCTCTAAGTTGGTACAACTGTGTGCCTCTGGATGCACTGTATCTCGGTGTAGACCACTCACACCTATGCTTCATAATGACCATTCTCTCTTCTGTAAAATTACAACTTCTGTTGTTTGAGTCTTAAATATGAACAAAGTGAATAACCGAATGAAATCACCAATAACAAGAATAAAACACATCTTTTACTAAAACACTGGTGTCAGTAATACCTTGTTTCCCCAGCCCACACTGAGAAACTTCAATTTTTCTCATGGATATTTTATGCCCCACAAGGAAAAGCAAATGTCACACCTGCTTTGGTCTACTTCAACACTCAATAAATCTGAAGTGACATTCTTCTTTCAGGAAGAACTACCAAGTTTGCCATTGATCCTGACACCTACTTGATCTTTCTAAGACAAAAAGTTCAGGGACAAATTCTTATGCAGATGACTCCTTGGCTTTCTCCTTTCCTCTTGCCGTTTTTTTTTTGTTTTTTTTTTTACTGTCTTTCTTTCTTTGAGTTAAATTCCTTTCATCCTGGTGTCTTTACTAATATCTGACTCCTATCAGCTGGGGACAGGATAACTGGTGATGCTCTATCCCTTCCTAAGTTCCAACAAAATTTCCCAATAACACTTCCCACTAATTTGACTCCTCTCCTACTGGGAAACTATAAAAACTAGTAAAATCACAAAAAAAACAGCCACCCACTTTGAATGCTGTGCAAGGCTCACAAGTCTTTGCTATCATGGTCAGAAACTCTTACTGGGGTAGTACCGTTTGCTGCTTGATCTGCTCTCATGTAGAAATCCACAGCCAGATCCTGATTTTATCCCATATTTCCTCCTCTCTGCTGGATTTCATTCTCTGCTGTTCTCAAAAACAATCCTTGATGATTCATTCCTAATTTCCAAGTACAAAGGCTGTCTTTGCAACAAAACCTATTATCTCCAGTTTGATAATCAAAAAGTGTAGCCAAATACTCTTCTGTCCTGAGGATCACAGAAGGCTAAATGAAGTTTTGGTCAATGTGGCTATGAGCATAGTCAGCCCTAGCAGATTTGACAGGCTGGAAAAAAATATCTCCAGTGGAAGAATAGCAGAATCACTAACAGGAAGAGGTGAATAGTCAAAGGAAAAATCTATTGTATCACTCCAAATGAGGACGGAGATTATCCTGTTAGCAACTGTTGAGGATGATGAACCCAATGAGACAATCAAAAGTGAATCCTTGAGTTAAAGAGTCCCATAATTATTAGATATAACATCACAGGACCCAGGAAAGGCATTGCATTTTCAAAAAGTCATCCAAACTCAGCTCTCACTCACCCCAGAAAAATGAATTAGCACCCTATATCTATCTGTTCTAATGCAAACTTGAGATGATTTCCTGTTTTACAGAGACTTCCAGCCTATGACCCTACTTTGTCTCCCTGGGTCTACACATAATCAGCTTAACTGCTCTTCCTCATGCAATACTTCAGGCATTTCAA